AGCTCGTGGCGGTCTCCTCACAGCGCGCCCCGAGGCCCCCGCTGCTCAAGCCCTGCCCTTGCGATTTATTCTTTATTCAGGTTTCAGCTAATGCGTCGAGATTCTCCCCGGTGATAAACTCAGGCACAATAAATAATGGGTCAGCAATGGCGTTTGGGTTAAAACATGACTGAATAGCTTGTCACTGTGAGGAACGAGAGGGATTTTTGGTTTGTTTTGTTTTTGAAGCTTTTCTTTGAGGTGGCTGTTGGGATGGACCTGTTAGTACTCTTTATTTTCAATTCTTTTGTGATTTAGGCTTAGAAGATATTAATTATTGGTCTCCCACTACATTCTTCCAAACGGAACTGGAATATCTGTGTAGGATTGAAAAGAGGGAGAGTAGCTTGTCACCCATGGAAACCCCAGGTTAAGCTTCCAGATCTTTTTGGTCAGCTTGTAGAAGCTCTTGTTTCAAACCGGGCAGATGTGCTTCCCCACCTGTGTGGCAGCTCCTGCTCCCTGCCGCGCTTGGGCTGCCTCTGGTGAGTTAGGTGCTAAAATGGGACCTGCTAACATCTGATAGTGGCTGAGAGTGCTTCGGCCAAACTAAGGTCTTAAGAAATTGGCTACAGTTAGTGGACAAAGATGCTACAGATCTTTAACCTATAGTCCAGAGAGAATGGGTTTAAAGCCCCTGTGAGCTCCGTGTATTCAGAGTCAGTGGTGTGCCTGGAGGTAACGGAAGAACGGCTCATGGGAAGGAAGGAGGATTGAAGTCAGCGGGTCCTGGAGGGGGGTTTGGGCAAGAGCTAGCAGGGATGGTGCCTCCCTGCATGGGGGAGAGGTGGAGGGCCATAGGAGATGGTCTCACAAAACACAAGTGACATTGCTCCTGCGAGAAGGGGCAGCAACCACTGTGAGCCGTGCTTCCTGAAGATCCTGGTCAGTAGACTGGTGGTCCCCCTTCAGCTGCTTTCAGCATTGCCTTGTGGTCATCCTGCATGTCTCCTCCCAGTAGAAATCAAAATCTCTTTTTCATCCCTAGGCAAAGCCAGTTGCCAGACTCCCCACCGGACTCTGGATCGGAACCATGTTCTCCGCCACAGCTCCAGAGTAGGTCACATGAATTCTGCCTCTCCCAAGCTTGTAGGAAGGTCTCCAGCTCCTCTTCTTTCTCCTTACTTTCTTGTCTGTTTACTTCTTGCAGCCATGTGGTATGATGCTACGTGGCCCAGTGGGCCACAGCCTCCGCTCCCATGCCCATCTGCTATGGCACCCAGCAAGCTTCCCTGCAGGTTCATGGAGACTTACTCTGACCCCAGTGCCAGTGGGCATCCCTGCAACATCCCCCAAGGCTGCTGTCTGAAGACAGAAAATGCTGTGACTCCTTGGAATAATTCTACATCCTCCAGCTGTTTGGGTTTTAATTATTCATATTTTCAGCCAAATGCATCTCAGATTTCTGGGTAAATGATAAAGCTTTTATGCAAAGGATGGGACAGATAAAAAAAAAAACCCAGAGCTGGTAGAAGACGTGGTTTAAGACTGGTGTAAAATCCCCACGGGTGTAGGGTTTTCCACAGGATGGCAGTGTTTAGACATTTTTGAGACACTTGTGGTTGAGGGTTCTTTAAACATCTTGATTGAAGTTCAGATTGGAAGTAGGAATGGATTTTGATTTTTAAAACGTTAGAAGGCTAAAGAGGGATCAACAGGTGCTTCATAACTGGATTATAAAAACATTCAGGTGTTTTGCAATACCTGTTGCAGGGATTGGTCCATAAGGATCTTGTAAGTGTTCTGACAAGTGGCATGAGAGAAAAAAAAAAATAATATTGTCATATCTATGTAAGCAAGTGAAATGGTATTCGTATACCATCTGCCATATTCACCCACCAGCATGCTGTGGATGCTTAATTATTAATGATTTAATTATTTAAAATACACCGGCTAGTGCAGGCATCCAACCATGATACCTAGTAAGAATGAATTGACTGATGCATGCCAGAGAGGGACCTCCCTGGTATGGGGAGAGAAATGTGAATTCATCAGTGTTAGTCCTGGGCTTGCAGATGCTCTGTCCCTCTCTCCTCTTCTGTACAGAACTCAATTACGTGTTACATGTGTGGGGGGGAAGGAAGCTGTGCCTGGGTTTCTCACTGAAGCTATTTGTGTTCTTTTATTTGTTTGTTTTCCAGTAGAAGGTGCCAGTTAGTCAAAATCATATTATTTTTTGAGGGAATACTTTAGTTATTGGAACTTAAGATACAAAATACTTCTTAATCAAATGTGGAACTTTTGGACAAACCTAGAAAAATAATAACAATGTGGTGGGCGGGCTTTTCTTCTGCTTGTGGAGAAACCTTAGTTTGAGTACCTACTGGGCCAGACTGAGACCTGGAGTTTGGCTTGTTTTTTCCCCCATCCAGAAGGAATGACCATCTGTCAGGATATTCTAGCTTACATTTTATAATATCAAAACTTTGGAATAAAGTTTTGCTCCTTTGCACAAAGGAGCATTTTTTGAAATCTCAGTTTCTGGGAAAGGGGAAAACTGTTACCCATCAGTTGCCCCTTGAGATCTGTGCGTTAACGCATTAGTTTAACTGCTACTAGTGTTTTCTGTATAAGAAGGAAAGTGAGTTCATGCTTGGTGGAGTACAATTACTGTGTTTGTACAATTACTGTGAGTACAAATAAAGCTGTGTTTTTAATGCAAATGTCAGGAGACAATAAAACCGTGCCACGTATGCACTGTGTAAATTTTTAAAAAGAGATCAACTTCTCTATTCATATGAAATAAAAAAATAAACTAATTTATGTTTTGGAAGGAAAAATTGCATAATTCAGTTTTAAAAAGCCAACAGCAATCTCCTCCCCCCAGCAAATCAGAATTTGGGTGACAGTACAATTAGAATGAGATACCTGGGTATTCTCTTGTTATGATTCTGTAATATCTGTATTTATACTTACAAATGAGTAATGCAACGTGTATTTTTAAAAAAGTATTTCTGCAGCATCAGGCAAAAAAAGGAAGCTCTCACAATTACTGGGAGATGCCACTGATTCTCCAGTTCAGTCTCAGGACTCCAGACAAGGTAAGCAACTGTGCGAAGATGAAATTTAATGTTTCATACTGTAGACAAGTAAATATTTTAAGAGCACAGCTCCTGCTGGGTCTGAAAAGGCAGCTGTATTAACAGTCTGTACTCCACTACCAGGTTTGGAGGAATTTACCTTTTCAGTGTTTTTGAAAACCAGGACCTATTTATGTTTGTAGAAGAGAGAAGCGTTAGGGGTTCGTGTTTCCTGAGGACTCTCTGGACGAAGTATTCTGCCCTCTTCCATGTGTGAGCCTGCAGTACACAGATGATACTATACTCTGCTGACTTTGCTTGGCACTAAGTTGACTGGGCAAATAAACCATCTTGGGTCAGCTTAACAGGGAATTAATGTGGTGGATGAACAAACAGATTGCAATTTCCTGTTATCATCTCAACTCCATATTTTTTCTACAAAGTGTATCCATGCACAAGCTTGGTAAAAGCTGTGTGCTTTTCCCCACCCCTTCCCCAAATTAATTTAATTCATTGTTTTATCAAGATAAAAATGCTAGGCTTATACCAATTGATACAAAAAAGGTTATCGGGCACGTACAGAAATGGATCAGCTTCTGTGAAGTGTGAGGCTCTCTGCGAATGAACAGTTTGTAATGAACAGTTTATCTGAGGAATTTCACCGTTGTCTGTTAGTGGAAAACCTGAGAGTTGCTTGTTATTTCTTCGGAGTAAGTTATTCTTCAGCATTAAATCAATCTTTTACAACACTTTTAATGAGTAGCAACTGGATTTAGTAGGTTACTTTTCCTTTGGTATCTTTTATTTCATCAGTGTTGCTTGATTGTGACTAGTCCTCTAAGTCTACCTCTGCTGGAAAGAGAAGATGAGCAGACACTTCTGTACCTAAAATTGCTATTGCTGGTTTTAATACTTAAAGGCACAGCTTTGAAATACACTTTCCTTTGGAGTCACTGTCAATAAAATCTTACTGACACTCGTACTATAGGAAAAAGAGCACAGCCATTGGTAAAAATGGCATGGAGATCATTTAGAAATGAGGTGTGAATTTCTTTACTGTGGGTTTTTTTTTATATTTTCACTCTGCTGTATGTCTGAAGTGGGGAATTGCAAATGCAGCTTGGGCCTGAAATGATTCTGTAGGCTCTGTCTTACTGTGCTGCCACTGGCTGTGGATGGATCTTAGCTTATATGCTCAATGACTTGTTTTCTCCTGTCCTTACTGCACTCCATTTATCTGTCTCTCTTATCACATTCTCTCTCTCTTCATGAAATGTATAATATCTCAGAGAATTATGGTTGACCCTGTCTATCTTAGAATGCTGTAATGTATAGTCAGAAAGCATTAACCAGTCAACCAGATGTAGTGGTGAATGTGCTTGCTATTGGAAAACTCTGCCTCCTGCTCTGGGACGAAGTACCTGTTGCAGTGAGTTGGAGTATATTCAGTTTAAACCTGTAGTAGAGAGAATGGGAAACATATGTAATTTTGTGTAATTGCTTCTTGCAGTGTTGCAGATGTACAGTAAAATGCTTAGCTTTCCTTCCCCGCCCCCCCCAAGGAAACTAGCCATCCTTTTGGAGAGAATAAAAATAGGAAGTGCTACTTGTGTAATATTTTGCAAATCAGGAAAGCTGAAAAATTTATTTTCTAGGGCAAGGGAATACAACACAATCTTTTGGAATAACTGCAAAGAGCAATCAGATTTAAATATATATGCAGTATATTTGTGCTTTATATGTATGTGTAGATATGTAAATATATTTATAAAAATGTTTATGCAGGATTTTTGGCTAGTCACAAAAGTAATAACTGAATTTTCACTATCTCTCTACAGCAACTGTTAAGGACTGTGCTGCTGAAGTGCAAGAATATGACAGTGATGGACAGAATGCAGCTTTGGAAAAATGCTGTCAAGCTCTAACATGGCAACCATATCAAACTTCTCAGTGGAACAGCTTATTTAACTCTAATTATGAAAAACTGTAAGCACTGATGTTTGCACTTGGAAAATGTGGTTTCTTGGGGTTTTTTTTGCTGGTATTGTAGTTTTGTAGGAATAAATAACACATTTGGCATCCCTTGTTCTTACTGAAAATAAGACTGGAGAAGGAGGTGTAGCAGGCATGGTGGAATATGAACCTGCAGATGTATCAGATAAGCAGAACTTTAAACACTGGTTGAAATTCATGCCAGGTTTTCTGATTTCCCTTCGAGGATCTAGGGGCAAAAGAAAAATGAGTTTAACTTAAAATACCTTTAATTTTTGTTTATTTTGTCAAGCACATTGGGGCAAGTAATTACTGAGCATATGGCACCTTTCCCTCTAATGGCCTAAAATATTAAAGGAAAGTGGAAATAGGAGATACCTGTATTACTTCTGGGCTCATATAACCGAAGTCTTAATATCTGTAGACATATATGTATGACGTGCAACTGTATAGCTAAAGATTTAACGTTTTCCTGTATAAATCAGAACTGTAAATCATTTTTTTTGGCCACATGATCTGGGAAAGGTCATTCCAAGTTCACTTTACATCCCTGGTTTTCTCCATTCTAGTATTTAGTGAATCATTCCTTTTAACAAAAACCCTTCTACAGCGTCTGGTCAGTTCGCCAGGATTGGTGCAAACAATTTGTCACTGTCTCCACAGGACTTAAATAGCATAGTAAATTTTAATGTTCCTCTAGCCCAACCTGCCTAAAGCACTTGTGGGAGTTTGGAGTGTATCAGTGTCATTGCTGGACACTCACGTTCCCTGTTTGTGCACAGCGTGATAGGGGCAATACACATCTTACTGTGTCCCACACAACCCTTCTAGGGTATTGACATGACAAGAGAGCAGACAGCTCCGTGTTCACACCTTTCTACTCCTTGGGAGCTGGATGGGCCAAGAAACCTCCAGCTGTGTTTGTGATGTGAATTGTCACTCTAAATGAAAGTAGCTTCCAACTCCTGTTACACTTTCAGTCAACGACTGCATTAGAGCTGTGAGCTGATGTTGGGAGATTGCTCTCCTGCCGCTACCCAATTACTTGTTGGTTCCCGTACACTTAAAATTGAAGTTCCAGACTTACATTTCTTGGTGGCTTGTGTCAACAAAGACAATGTGATGCTGAGCATTAAAGCATCCAAATACATGTATCGTTACCATTACTGTGGAAGGGGATTGAGATATTATTTGCAGAGGAAGTCAGTGTTACTTTTAAGCGAGGTCAATGGCAGTACCTTTGTTCCAGGATGCACTGTAATTACGGCACAGTGCACAGATTTTCTGAGTAATGATTCTGTATTCTGTTAGCCTCAAAAGAGTTATGTGCTTATCACTGCTCAGTGTAGATTGATTGGTCCTGTACCTTGAAATTGTTGTGCCCACTTTAAGGGCATTTCTAAGGTTAATTATTATTTTCCATTTTATTCATCCAGTATTTTAACCTTTTGATTATTTCATTTTAACCACAAAATGCTGTTAGCTGAGGTAGATTCATTAGAGAAGGTTACTCTGCCATTAATTATGCCCTGCATCGTGTCTGCTTGGCACTTTCTTAGCCCCTTGCCCCATTACTATTGTGACTGGTGGGACTCTATTCCAAAGATGTTGTCTGAAGACTCAAATTCTGAATAGAAAGATGAACTTGAAGTGTATTTCTAGTAGGCATGCTTGTGTGACAGGGATATCCCTTGCTGCCTAAAAGTTCTTCCAAGTTTTGCTGTACTGCTTGGTGAGACTGACCATTCTTTGTATGATCAGAGCAAAATATGTATTTGCTCTTAGTTACAGTAAATGGTATACTCAGAAAATGATAAACATGAAATTCCTCTTTGGGAGTCATTGTTCCAAACAATTCAACTTGGAGAGATGGAAATTTGTACTTTTGCTTCTCAATCTGCTTGTCTGCATGTAAGCAAATACTCTGAAATTGCTTAAAGGATATCGGCTAATGAACTTGCTTCACACCTAAATCTGAAAAACGACTCCTTCCTCTACTATGAAATAGACACATTTCCTACATAAATAAAAAGAACTACCAGTTGTAGGAAGAAACTGAAGAAGCTTTGCTTCTTTAATAATGCTGGTTTGAGGAGATGGTAGACACTTCATTATAATTTTAAATATGAATTAACATACGACTTGGTAGTTTTGAAGTAGTTACAGAGTCATTTTCTCTTTATTCCCTGTCCCAGATAATCAGTGATTGTTTGAAAGGGGCCTTTCGTTCATAATTTATAAAAAGATAATAAAGTCTGTACATTTCTTGTAAAGTCTGTACATTTTGATTTTTCCAACTAATAACGTGCAAACGAATGGATGAGTTCTGAAAAGTCATCTTCAGTAACTGTGTTAATGAGAAGTTCTCTATAGCATCAGACGAGATCATCATTATCAAACTTTCATTAGCAAGAAAAGCCAATGCCCATATAAGAGAACCATGTAGCCCTATTATTTCAGAATTATCCATCACTTAAATGAGAGGACTGGAAACATTGTTGGGATGGTGAGTTCACTGGCTCTTTTAGAAAGATCTTTTGATACCTTTCCTTGTTTGCTGTGAATCATAAGGACAGAATACTCTTCTCTTCGGGTGACAGATTAGCCCTTTGAATAAATAGAATAGGGTTTCCTTAGTTGGGGTAGGATGGGCAACATTATAAAGGAGAGTTCTATAGTCATCTGGCCAGAGGGTCAGTATCGATAGCTTTTCATTTAGCCTGAGTAAAGCCTTATTCGAATCCCAGCAGCTGCTGCAGAAGCACTTTGGGAACAAAATAGGGAGTCTTGCTGGCTCATTAGCACGTTGTTGTCTGCAGCACTAGTTCAGCTCTGTTGTTTGTAGCAATGTTATAATGAGTGCTTGAATACACTAAAAGGTTTGGTTGTGCTTTTAGGTGAACAGAGTTCCTTTATACCAGATCTGAAAGTGAGGATTTTGTAAGCTTCTCCACCTCTGGTTTCCAAACATTTCATGTGTCAGACGAGAATTAGAGTACACTTTATATGCATTTTCATTTTTACACCTCTAAGAGGCTAAGAAGAAAATACTGGTAGAACTGGTGATTGCAAAGATGTATTTTGGCTGCCATTTTGTCAGTAAAAACTCAGATGGATTTTCAGACCACATAAAAAATAGGAACTCAAGATGTCACTCAAATAAGCCTGTACTTAAAGTTGCTATTCTTTCTTGGTTTTGTAGACCCACTGTAGGATATCACATTGTCACAGACAAAGGATTTAATTTTTCAACAACAGATGATGCCTTTGTGTGCCAGAAGAAGAATCATTTCCAAATCACAGTCCATATTGGAATCACTGGACATCCAAAATATGTCAAAACTCAGCTGGGGGGGAAACCAATAGAAAACTTTTACTTGAAAGCTTTTGGAATAAAGGCAAGTATTTCTCCTCTTTGTGATTATTACTTTTAATAAGTTAGAATGTGATTATCCATAGAATAAGGTAAAAAATTGAAATGAACTCTTTTCTTAGTAATTTTTGACCAAGAACTGACAAAAGAGAACTCTTTTAACTTACTAGTGACTTCCGTGTGGAACTCTTGGAAAAAAGTGACATTTAATGGATGCTTGTGCTGATATATGCTGAGAGACGTCATGTTTGCCTGTTTGCCATAGTTTCACTGACTTCCTTCTCTTTGGCTGAAATTTTGTTCCCTCTGTGGGCAGTGCAGGAGCATCATCTGGTGTGTAGGTGGCCAGTCTACTATTGGTCAAAAAGATGCGTTGAAAACAACAATTCACAAAGCAAAGAAAAAGGATCAAATCTGTTGTTCCTGAACAGCTCACATGTAGAAAACCAACAAAAATTCCCCATTTCTTCTTGCCAGGCTTCTGTTTTCATTTTAAGAACCAAATTCTTTCCAGCCAACATGGGTCCGCAAGCTTGCATACACAGAAGTAGTAAGAAATGTTAATCTTTTTGGAAGATTTTACCAGGTTTTTTACTTACTACCAAAACTGATTAATTGATTTAAGTGATTTTAAAAAATCCGTGTAGCTGTTTTACAAGGCAGTTACTACCAGTTTTGCTTAATGCATTCTAATGCAGAAGAAATCAGTGAATATTACTGTCATCTGTTCCCATCTGAAGCAAAGTGCTGCTTGGTACCATTCCAGAAAGGTACAGAAATTTACATTAAAATAACTTATGGAATTACTTGGCATAGGTTCAGTTCTCATGTTAAATATCTTTTATACATTTATATTAATATAAATGTATAAAATATATAAATTATATATATTAGCATTTATACTTTGGGATAGGATGAGCCAGTAACAGTCTAGCTTCAGAAAGCAGTTTTTCTTTTGCAAATTAATGCGTGACTTTTCCTTTTTTTCCCCTTTCAAATTATGTCCACAGAATGATTTGGGGCTTCAGACTAGCTGGAACACAGCACTGTCAGGTGTCAATTGATCAGGAGTCAATTCCCATGTTATTTTCTATAGGGTTCCATGAGAAATGAGAGAGATGTCACTGTTTCAGACACAATTTGTCTATTAATTTCTATTGCAAATTTTATGTGTTTGAAATTTAATATTCTTGTTATTTTTGAAAATTCTTTTTTCTTTATAGGTGGAAGCTCCAAATCAAACAATTGCTATTGAACAGTCTCAGTCAGATCGAAGCAAAAAAACTTTCCATCCTGTTAAGTAAGAATTTTGAGAAATTTATTCCATTTTATTTCAATACTTGATTGGTCGGAAATGTGAAGTAGTTGTTTCTTGGAAACTTATAGCAGCTCTAAGCCGGTCTTCTGATCTTTGTCCAGATTCCATTCCGGGTGTGCGCATAGAATCACAGTAGTAATATATACCTGGTCTCCCTTCATTAAAGAAAATTTTCAGCAGCTTTACAAATGTGTTAAGTATGCCTATCCAAAATGTTTATATTCAGCTGACAACACTGTTGTATGAGCTGTATGGCAGATGCATTTCCCATCTTAAGAAATGTCAGTAATGTTGCTGTTCTACGTGGGCATGAGATGTATTTGCAGTGCTTTTAAGGGGGAGTGCCCCTGCTAGAAACATACATGCAGCTTCTCCCTGGAACTCTCTGCCATTCTTCTGCATCTTAACTCACTGACAGAATCAATGTTTGTTCTTCTGGCATAAGTGTCTTCTGTTGGAGCTGTTCTGTTCTCTATAAATAATTAAAGAAGCCTTAAAACAGAAAAAGATAAGACAGTGTCAAGTTTGACAGGACAGTGCTGGGATAAAGGCTGCAATATATAATCTGCAAAAATTAGCTTTGAGCTTGGGAGGAGAGGTCGATTTTCACTTAATTACCTCTATCATGGCATTTTTCTTCCTTTTGCATACTGAAGAATAGATTCTGGGTGTAAATTGTTTCATGGGTGCTGATGGTGTAGTTTTCATTTATACCAGATGAGAACACAGTCGATGGACTGTTGTTTTCTCCATGCAAACTCTTTATTCATATTATTTATCACTGACAGGAGCAGTGCCACTATGTATTTGAGACATATGTCTGTATTTTGTACTTCCAGACATAAAAATTAGGTGCAGGTGAAAAAAAGGGCAAGCAGTAAAATTTATTTATTTTAATGTGGAAACTCAGACCCAATAATAAGCAATGTTACCCTTGGCAATCAACAAATACCTATCATATGGAACACATACGGTTTTATTATGTTCAAGACCCTGTACAAACAGACCAAGAAACACAAGGCTCCTATTACTAAGAACAGTTTCCCACTGCTGGTGCTTTATCCTGTTTGTTTATCTCCTTGACATAGTCAGTGTTTTTAATGCATTTTTATAAACCAGGGTTACTGCATTTTTACTGGGGTTCCTCTGTTTTTTCATTTGTCAGCTTTTCTCAAAACTATATTAATGAGTTTGAGGAAATCTGGCTTGAGCCAGGTAGACCTCAATTGCTTATTTCCCTGATCTTGTTTTCTTTTCTATTTTAGAGTTGATCTGCCAGGGGACCAGATAACTAAAGTAACACTGGGAAGGTTGCATTTCAGTGAAACAACAGCAAATAATATGCGAAAAAAGGGGAAACCTAATCCTGACCAGAGGTATTGCTGTAGCTAGTTGGCCTGTGTGTGTGAAGTGGAAAAGAGAAGGTCTACTTTAGAATGGAGCTGATGTTTGTGAAAAATCTCAGCATTGCCAAATCCTGTGATTTTTTAAATTTCAAATTCTGTGATATTTGGTATGCTTAAAGGCCTCCTCTAGAGTCACAGGATGATGTGAGAATAAAAGAAAGTATCTCATCCTTGTGGTTAGAGATTGTTTCAGGAAATCACAGCCAGAATGTTGGCTGACAGAATCAGGCAGCCAAAAAACCAAATGATGATAATTTTCTTCTGGGGAAGGAAGGGTCTTCATCTTTGAGTCTTCATTACTTAGATTTGTCAAAATTACTGTAATCTTTGTTCATTTTCAGTGATTGTGGGGCTTGAAAGAGCATATTACTTGAGAGTGAAGGAAATATTTTTTCCTTCATGTTGCAACATAAATATATTTAAAAAATGTTCTGGCTATCTTTTTATGAATCAGTAACAGCAGTTGCATTTAAAACATTTTATTTTTTTCTGTGAGAAGACATTACTTCAATTATTATCTTGATTAAATCAATTTCAAATTAGATACTTCATGCTGGTAGTTGGACTGTATGCTGTCTCTCAGGATGAATTCTATCTACTGTCTGCATATGTCTCTGAAAAGATCATTGTGAGGGTAGGTAGAAATTTATATTGCTTTCATGTGAAACGTATTTACAAAACTGTTTTGATATTCATAGGAGACTACGGGGGGGTAATTCTTGGGCATAAAAATGACCATTGAATCAAAAAGACTGAGGAAAAAAGATTATGGTTGCATATTATATGAATATGTTGTTATCTTTTAATTATCGGCATTTTAAAACATTAAAAGCAGAGCTATAGAAGAATTTAAAAAGAAAGCTTGTTGTGAATTCCAATACAAAATACATTGACTTTTCCAGATTGTTTTTTCTTTGAGGTGAAACAATTTCCGGCACTTGACAGGAATTTGGTAAATGCTTTCATTGGCTAGATGCTTCATTTTCAAAGGAGGATGAGAATGAAAAAAAATGCAAGGAAAGAAGGTCAAGCAGCTCTAGGAAGATTAAGACCCATAGCTGCCCCTTTCCACTGTGTTTCCAGAGTGTCCCAGCTCTTAATTTGGTGGTTGTAATATAGGTTTCAAAATAGAAAAAGGAAGAATTGGTCTCTCTTCCTCAATGACCATTACTTTTCAGTCCTCTGATCCACATAAAGTTTTCCTTTTAGTACTCAGCTTTAGCCTACAGAGTTAGACTTAGAAGAGAGAGAAAACCCAGAGCTCTATTGTAACAGGAGCTATGGAGGGTTAGGGTTAGGAGAGAGAGAAAGCGCAGAGCCCCGGCATGACTGGGGTTGCAAGGGGACTGCCAAGGAAAGGTGGGGGCTGCCAAAAGCTTTCAGTCCTGGTCCCTTTTTCATGTGACCAATAGCTGGTGGTTAACATCTGAACTGGGTGTAGTCTAGGGTTATGGTTATTTCTAGGGTGAAGATTATGCTTAGGGCTTAGAAAGATGGGAAATGCATAGGTGCCATGTGGTGGGGCTGCAAAGGATGGTGAGGGCTTCCGGAAGACTGCAGTCCAGTGAACTTTTTTGCGTGGGCCAACTGAGGAGCTGCTTCTTTTTTGCATGGAGTATTTCTAGTCCTTGGCTTACGGTGAGGAATAGGCTTAGTATTTTGGTTTAGAGTCAAATAAGACCAAGAGCTCTATTGTATTAAGCGGGACTGGGAAGCGGCTCCTAAAGAAAGGTGAGGGCTGTCTAAAGCTTTTAGTCCTGGCATCATTTTTTGTAGGCCATTGCTTGGGTCCTTTTTGGTGGCACATCGTCTGCCTAGGCTTATGATTACAGCCTGGTTTAGCATTCAGGTTTGGAGAGAGCAAAAATGCAAATCCCCAGTATGTGTGGTGTTGCACAGGGGTTTCCAAAGGAAGATGAGGGCTTTCAGACGGTTTCAGTCCTGGCTCCTTTTTCGTATGGGCCATTACTTTCTGTCTTCTTGTGCCATAAAGCCTCTTCCTGCAGCTGCAGTTAGGTTTTTGCAGGGCAATATGGCCGAGAGCTCCTTTCTGGGTGGAGCTGCGAAAGGGCTTTGAAAGCAATGTTTGGAGTTCAGTAGTTTTCTGCCCTGCTGAGAAGTTTCATCATCCTGGCCATTGCTGTGGTTCTTTCATTTCAGGACACTGAAGCATTGTGTTTGTGTCATTCCTGCATAGTTAGTTCTTTTCCTCTTTTGTCCATTAATTTCCACAATACTGCGTTCGTTGAATTTCTCTTTCTGCATCTAGCAGTGTTACAAATATACTCTCTTTACTAATTTGGGAAAGCTGTTGAATTTTCACATTTGACTCATCCTTGGGATTATTTTTACCTTATAAGATAAATATTTTTATGTAAGATTTAGAAATTTGCATTTTCCTACCATTTTTAATGTTAGATTCTTTTGAAATTTCAGTGAAGAGAGCTCCTTCAATGTGTGTGAGACAGTTTTTTAATAGCAATCCAGGGAATGAGATTTTGCAAACCTGGCCACTATTCCAGACAAAGAAAAAAGAAGGCAGAAAAGCAGAAGGATCAAGAGGCTGTGATTTGAAGTGGTGAAAATATCAACAGGAAAGCTGGAAAGGAAAAAAAAGTCATTTTCCAGATGTCTGACGGGGCTTCAGTGGCAGGGTACAGTGAGCCAGCCACTGGCTACCTTAAAGTGGCAAAGCTGTGCAAACGCACCGTGAGAGAAAGCAACTCACGTTCTGGCCCTTTATACACTCAAACATAACGTAACAAAACTACCAGCTGAGTAGTGGTTATCAGGCATATCAGATCATGCTCTAATTGTGGCAAACGGTGATAAGTGCTCAGCACCATGCCCTGTAGATGGCAAAGCCTTGTGAAAGCCTGGCTTCTTTAAATGAGTGCAAACTTTTTATAGTGATCATACTTTTGTTCAGACTCAAATTTTAAAGCCTGAATTCAAAGTAAAAAAAAAAAAAACCAAACCAAAATTAATTACTGAAATCAAATGCCTTTTCTAATTATACACACTCTGTTGTTTTTCTGGTGTTCTTTAAAAGACCCTGTTTCCTTGACATGAAATTTCTAATATGAGTTAATTTTAAACATTACAGAGGATTTTATGAACCACGTGTGTTTAATCTCTGCCTTGTTTGCTCTTTTCTGATTTCCAGCCTCAGCTAAAATTTGCTGGTAAATAAATGGTTATGTGGCATAATGTCAAAGTTAAAATTTGGAAAGCTTTGGACATTGATAATTTTGCTTAAGGTGATAATAAAGTAGAATTCAAGGGAAAAAGCAATGAGGCCGATGCTGTATGAGTAGAAACACTTACTTAGAAGTGACTCCACTCTGTTTTTTTCTGTTGGTGTGTTAGAAAAGCTCTTGAATACAATTTTAATATTAAAGATTTGGCATTTCATTTTCCCTGAATTCCTGATGGAATAAGCAATAGTACATCTATGCTATACTATATCTTTAAACATAATTTTTTACTTCCAGGCATCTAACCCAGGGCAGTTTGAGAATGACAGTGATGTACTGTGGCAGCGAGGACATGTTCCAGAGACGATAGTCTATCATGGTCGAGTAGGAATTAACACAGATGCACCAGACGAAGCACTGGTTGTCTGCGGAAATGCAAAAGTTATGGGCAGAGTCATGCACCCATCTGACAGCCGAGCAAAACAGAATATCCGGGAGGTAAGGGCGGGGGAGTATTTAGAGCATCTATGTTTGCACCACAGCACATGTGTGGATCATTGTTCTGACATGTGAAGCACCTTCTTTACCCTGGGTGTGCTGAAATGCTGGCCTAAAGAAATCGAGTGCACTGCTGTGCTCTGTAGAGCCATTGCCTATGGACTTTGGAAGAGGCTGACCACAGAAGCTGGAGATATCTGTGTAAATGGGAGTTGTCAGACTGAAGGGTAACTGGCAATACAAATACAAATAGCACTCTGCTAATGGGGAATGAGAAGATTGTCCGTATTGTTCGATGCAAAGATTGGCCAAGTGCCCATGTCAGGCTTGTTGCTATCTCACTGAAGTCCTAGGTGCCATGACCGTTCCTAACGTTTCAACATATGAATCTTGGTATTTGTCCAACTAGGTCGATACGAATGAGCAGTTGAGAAGAATAACACAAATGAGGCTGGTGGAGTATGACTACAAGCCTGAATTTGCATCTGTTATGGGAATAAAAAATACTCATGAAACAGGTATTCAGTCAGCTCTGTTCCCATTTTTCATTAACTTCCACTGTTGTTCATTGTGCCATAGTGCCTTTTAACACCCTGCTATTTCATCCTCATTTCTTAGGGTGCTACAATTGCACGCTGTTCTGTGTTTCTCTTGTGATATAAAAATGCCAAAATTGAGTATTTCTGGTATTTTCCAACTTCCGTTTAAATTTTTAAAGATGGAGGGTTATTTTTCCAGAGGTTTAATGAAAATGAAGTACGTGATCACAAACAATTTTGTTCTTATTGCAGAGAAACTGGACTTCTAAAGGTTTCTGTTTGTTTTCTGTGGAATGGAAAAAAAAAGTGAAATCCTGGATTTTCCTACCACAGAGAAATTCTAGATCATGTTTGGCCCTACCTGTAGCTTTTAGGTTGGTCGACTCAAAGCACACAACCATGGTCAACGGTATGCCACTGTGTTTCCTGACTTTAGTTTATCTTGTGAACAGGAATAATAGCCCAGGAGGTGAAGGAGCTTTTACCTCAAGCTGTTAGAGAAGTTGGAGAAGTTTCTTGTAATGATGGAGAAAAAATAGAAAACTTCCTCATGGTTGACAAGGTATGGTCTTGAGAGAGAAGGTGGAGGTGTGTATTTAGACTGTTCCTTTCGTATATGGAGCTATAAACAAACACTATGCTTTATACAAAGCTCTAGGCCTCCACATGTGTTTACAAAAATAGTGTTTGGCAAATCATTGAGAAAAACTGAACCACCAGGTGTTAGTAAATGGCTGAATCTTTTAATGACAAAAAGTATTTACATTAAAATCTCGTTATAAATAAACATACAATAAAGAGAAAAGGAAAAAAACTAGCTTTGCTGAATAAAGGTGGATATCGATTTCATAGCATTGGTTCAACAAGCGGGACTCCAAAACATTCTTTTGTGTTTAAGTTAATTAAGTGTTCCAGAAGTGAATTAAGCAATGATGGCATTCTATTTGTTAAATAAAAACTTCCTTACTCTAATCCGGGTGTAATCACTTCATACTAAATAAAAATGCTAACTCTGTGTGCTCTGTGGGAAGGTTTTTTTGACCATCTGAAATCCTTATTATAGCTTCAAAATCATATACTATAAAATGTTTATGGCACACAAAGTAATTACCATGCTCATAGGTTGGAAACAATGCCTTAGTCTGTTGTCCTGTGGTCTCTTCCTCTACTTTTCCTGTAGAAATAGGACTGCAAGGGACTGTCAGTCACAGAGTCCAGTCACACATGACTGTAGACAGCGCTTGTCCACAGCATGGCTCAGAGTGGCCCCTCTGTTGTGCGCTGGTTCACTGCAGGTCAAGGACCACTTCCCAGCTTTTTCCTGCTTACAGCCAATAATGGGTAACCTTGTCTTGTCTGGATGATGTCATGAACATGGTCCTGTATTCATTATATTCATGCATTCTTTCATTATTCTATAGAAAACACAAGTTTACACCACCAAACTTGGAGAAAATATCTATTAAAAATATTGCATTTCATTTGCCTTCTTTTGATAGGCTAAAAATAAGTTAAATTCATAGGTTAAATCTGCTAGGCTGTATTCCATATAAAGGAAGCATGAATTAGACACTTTGAATAAAGCTGAGGAAAGAGCACTTTCTAGAGATACTGTTGGAAAGGAGACTTTTAGAAAATCTTCTGTATTTGGTCAGGGTTCCAGCCTGTAGCTGATTTCTAGATGCTCATAGAAGCGCAGTGGTGTTAGATAGTGACATTGGGTTTGTTTTGCCCTTTAACACTTCCTGTTACATTGTGTGACAGTTGCATCATCATTTACATTTTTGAGCCCCCCCCAACTGCTTTGCGGTCGTCAGTTTTTTTCTGACAAAACTTTTATGTTGGACAATTGAGCTTTTGATTTATATCTCTCTCTGCTGAAATATCACACAAAATACCATCTGTAACGGTGCCTCACAGCACTGCCATTTGGGCCCATCGTGTTCCCTTTCTTCTCTGTAGCTTGGGTCTCCGGACAACACTTGCCAGGATGTCTTCCAGGGATGTGACTTAGCAAATGGAGAAAGCCTGCTGCACCCTGCAGGACGTGATTCTGCCGTGGATGTAGCCCAAGCAAGAATGAGTTGTTACAGCAATGGCTTATTTGCTGCTTAGCATTTTCTTGACTAATTGGCTAGGTCTGGGATCACTTCACAAACATTTCGACATTGTTTTAATACAGTTAGGTAAATCTGTGCTTTCTCCTCTTTCTCCTAACACCTGTGGCAGAGTATGTGAATGTCAATTCTGCGACCTTTGGGTGACAGGGGCAGGAGAGATCTGTGTCTAACAGTTTAAGATGTATATTGAATTCAGAGATTTGGAACATCTGATGTCCAGGTGGAACATCTGCTTTAAATGTCTGGAGCTCCCAACTCCAGAATAGCTCAGCACCTTGAGTAGTAAATGGACGTTGCTTCGTATCTTTGCTTTCAGCTAGGCAGGTGATGAGGCCTTGAACTTTGTTATCTCACATTCCAAGTTTAGTTCCAGATAAGCAGGATATTGGCTGGTTTGGTTGTGTCTCTTTGTCAGTTACCTGTTTGGAGCTGTTGAACTCTGTAAAATTAATTGATTGCATTACACATTTGAACCAGGCTCTGCTACTCTAGAGAAATGTCTCAACTGTGTGGAAATTTGCTATTTTGGGACAAGAATCTTTCTTCTCTTCTCAGTCGCACTGTGCTCAGTACTTTGTCATCAGTGAGGCAGTAAAACTCTAATCAGTCCTTTTGTCCCAAAGAAAGTATTCCTTCATTTTGCCAGATGAGCCATTTTCTCAGCTAGTTGAAGCCACCTAGAAGAGATTCCTGCATGATTTGAAGAGAATGGAAAGGACAGCTGCTACATGTCATTGATATGAGGACAAGTGACCGTATAAATGATTTCACAGTTCTAGGCACAGGAGGTTATTTTGAAGTCACTTTTTAGTTAAACAGGCTGTTGGTCTTCTGGCAGTAGAGAAGTTTGCAACTTACCACTGATACCTGTGCTCTGGTTCTGTTTATACAAAATACTGTCTGTTTTTGTGGAATGCAGTCACCTTTAAAAGAAGGGTGTGCGTGACATTTACAATGTGAAAGGCAAAACTCTGCTTTTGCTTTACTTCTGCATGACTTGACTAGACTGGAACACTTAGCAACATTAACTGCAGTAATAGCTTCATCCAAGGTTTAATGGCATCAGTCTGGTTGTACATTAGTATGAGAAAGCCGTTCTTTCAAACACAGCAAAGAAAGTATGCTGTTACCATGCTCCTGTAGTGGATCAGTAACCATTTTTGGCTCAGAAATGGACAAAATACTTATTACCTGGATGGTTGTACTGAAGGCTTTTCCAGCAGCACATTGATACCTAGACGATAAGCAGGGGGTAGAAGAATAGAAGGCTTTTCCTGGGTAAAATATTCAGGAGTAAATGGAGGGTGTCTGAACTGTGTTAGTTGTGGTGCTGATCACGGTATTAGAACTTACAGGACTCCTGTAAGAAGCTGGAGAGGTTGAAGGGGAGAACAAAATATTATGCCATCACAGCTTGACCTCTGGTTTGGATCTTTCCCTGTCTCGCTGATTCCTGTGTGATTCATGTTATGTGTACAACACGGACAGAAACTCTGGCTTGTCTGAGCCAGGTTAGTCAATCCTGTAGGTAGATGGTTGCACGTACATTTTGCTAAGGGATTCTGAAATCTATGTTCAGCTGCAGCACTACAAATCAAATGGTAGATGCCTGTTGTGACAGTGTTAAGGTTTAAAATTCAACACAGTATGAAGGTAAAATATAGTTTAAATTCTTGGTCTACGAAGCCCTTCAGCTTCTTAAAATTTTTCTGCAAGTCCTCATTTTCAATTTACTGCAAATTGAACATAAGCAATTTTTACAATCTAGCAAAAGGTTTTTATAGTCATAAGTGCATCCCATTTACAGTGAGATAACTTGTGTTTGCATTTTAAATATTCAATGTATCTTTACATAGGTGAATTCTGTACTCATTACTGCTTGTTACATCTGACTGATGAGTATATTGTATCTACTTTTGTCATTGTTTTGCTTCTCAGGATCAGATCTTTATGGAGAATGTTGGTGCTGTAAAGCAGCTTTGTAAACTAACCAACAATCTTGAAGTCAGAATAGAAGAATTGGAACAATGGAATAGGAAACTGGCCAGGCTGAAACGGATGAGCAGTTTAAAGTCAACAGTCAGTGAAGAGAGCAAAGTCAGGTACTTCTGTCTAGAATGTTCTCTGATAGCTGTAACAGAAATTGGTAAAGTGGTCTCTGTGGTAGAAGTGAAAACCGATTTTGCTTGACAGTGGAGTTCAGCTCATTTCCAGCATTTAAGTTGTGCAAAAAATACAAATTTCTCATATTTTTTAACTCACTGACAAAATTACTGTTTCAAATGGCTGTTAAATTGCAATCATTTTTGTAATTGCTTCAGTTGCATAAAGCAAGGGTAAATTATGTCCAGTTACAACCCTGGAGCTTAGGAATTGCTGCTAAGAGAAATCTGCAGAGCTGCTTCTGCAAGAAAGAATCTTCATTAGTGCTTCAGTGGAAGTGATGAGCATTTCCTATTTCTAAACCATTTCCCCAAGTTTTCTTTGAAATCAAATGTAGCATTTAATAGCATTCACCTGGGTGAGTTAACTGGAGGCCTTTGTTCTTGAAAATGAATGTGATGACACTTCTGCCTTTCTCTTTTTAAATGTTAAAATTGCAAAAGCAAGTGACATTAACACCCTATTGAAAACGTCTCTTTTTCATTTATTAGTTGCTGAAGCATTTGAATGTTAAAAGAGTTTTTGTCTCTCACAGCAGGTATAGTCGAGCTACTAGTCTTCTGTCATCAAAAAAATCAGTCCTGCTAAAATCCAGCAAGGTGGGTGAAATTAAATATATGAAATATGCCTATGAGACAGTTTTTGTAAGTGCTGAAATATTAGTGAAAGCTTTCATGTTTCTAAATATTGAATCAAATTCCTTAGCCAGAATTATTTAGTGTCATGCTAGAATCTTAAAAACTAACTGTAGTGAGATAGAAAATACATATGAGACACTTCCATTTCTTGCCTATACTTTGTGTGTGTGAGAGTAGATCCATTCTGTGTGATGGTGTGAAGGAGGAGACCTCAACAGGAGAGAATTGTTGAGCCTGTAGGTGTGCTCACATGGTGCAGTGCAGCTTTACATAGAAATGCTCATTTCAGTTTGGAAGTCTGCACAGTGATAATTCTTCCTCAGCTTTCTTCCTTGGATGAGTCTTTCACTGTGGTTTGCAGTTAGCATCTCCTGTTTTGTACTGGATCATGCTGTCTTTCAGGTGGTTAAGACCTGGATAGGATGTCGTTGCTATTGCTGAATGACTTCCTCTTGCCCATATCCTGGTATAGAAAGAGGAGACCCCTTTTCACAGGGATTGAATGAGTTAGGGAATATGTGTTGACCTTTTTCACGACAGCCTTCCTAGGCTGCTAAGTCCTGTTCTTTAAGATGAACCAGTGCTCATTTGCGTACTTTGCTTTTGCCAGTGCCAAAGAGCAAGAGAAAATAATAGGTCGAATGTCCTTTATTGCATAATGACAATCAAATGCTCCATCATCTAAGATCATCCTACTTGTTTAGAAAGTGCCTTTCTTCTGTATTTACACCAGCACTGGTTTAACGTGGTCTGAACATATACTGAAAGCTGCTCATCTTTTAGTTCTGGCCACTGCTTACTGAGTTCGTCATTTGATTTTGCAATACTTCAAGTGTATGAAAAATGGCACGAAGAAAAGAGAAGGAGCTGTTGTTTTTACCCACCATTTCTTCCTGTGTAATGTTTGTGTCCCCAGACTATCAACAGTGTGCAATGCACTCACAGTTTTAGGGAGCCTTTTGTCACTTAAGTTTTTCTCTTTAGACGTTGACCCCTATATAAAGATGACTTGTATGGTTCCTCTGAAAGAAACAAGGTTAACTTAAAGCCAGACTAGTAGTAGCTTAATTATGTGCCACTTAAATTAATCAAACTTTTTTTTTTTCCTAGGTTTGTTTGTCAAAGAGGAAAGAGTCTAGCTCCATGAAGATTTTCCGGGTGACTATAATAGCTTTGATTGCTATTATGGCATTATGGTAACAATTAATTATCAACAAGTTGACTTGTTTCTCCCTTCCCCTTTCTACTTATCTCATCAGAAAGAAGATTGCAATTTTTTTCTTCTTCTCACCCTTCCTACTCAGAGAACACAATGTATTCAAATTAACAGTGAATATGCCTGGTAATATTGTAAAGTTGAAATTGTTTTAGAAAAGTGAGATATTCAAGTGGTGCACACACAACTAATCTCTGTCCATGTCACAATGTATGGTGTACCTTGAATATATCTCGGTGGCTCGTGCTACAGGTCCAAAGCTGGACCTGTGAGTCTCTGCATGTTTTACGCAATCATTCTGTGCCTAAGTACAATTTCTGATGTACAGAGTGATTCTGTTGTGTGAAATGAAGCTGGACTTGTTCCCAGTATGGTGGGCAGTCCTGTGACTCTGAAGGTTTAACTTGTGACATTGGACTTGTGGAAAGGAAAGTATGCTCTGGACTTTTGAGATTGCCATTTTCTGTTTCCAGTCCAAAAACCTGTGGCTTACAATCTCTCTGAAGTGAACTGAGTACTTTGAACTGGTGTTGTGATTCTATTTACAATGGAAAACTGACCATATTTTGTGTTGAATTTAGCTGTATACAAGTACCTGACCTAAAACCCATTAAATTAAGTCGAAATTTTTTCCACTAAAGGGGAAGTGATCAGATAATTAACTCTTACATTACTACATTTGGACAAGCTGCTGTCAAGGTATTATTCATATTATGTTACATAAGAGATGGATGTAAATCTACGGAGTAATTCTCTTTCTACAGTGCTTTGACAATATCGACCCTGTATTTACTTAGCGTTCATGGCAGGCATTTTGAAAAACATCCGATTTACAGGCAAGTAGTTGAATTAGTGTTAGTGAATTAGAATTAGTAATAGGTTGTGGACCAATCTGTTTTGGTCCACAACTCTGATGTTCATTTCTTAATGAATTGTTTTTCTTTTTCTTCATCAGCGGTACCTCAAGTTCTGTTGTACTCTCTCCCTCTACCACTACAGCAGGTACTGTATCTCTGCTGGTCTGCATACATGTAACAGGCTTTCAATTTCTGTGTTATTATAAAATGGCAATAGACACACAGCACTAGTGAGAATTACGTCTATTTTTTTTCCCCTTTAGCATTACAGGGGGAAAGCACAATTTCTCAGAGCACGCAACCCATCAGCAGGATCCCTGAAGTGAATTTCTGTGACATTTTGCCTTGTGACAAGGTCTATTGTTGTCCAATTCATCAACAAAAAGTCAAATCTCTAAGTTATGAGAAAACCAATGCAAAGGAGAAACGTAAGTTGAAACATTAATTTCTATTATTTACCATTTGAATAAACAGTATATGAAGAGTGTGGGGGAAAGGGCAAGAATCTTTAAGTGTAGTTAGCTTCCAACAAAAGTGCCTAGTCCAGAGGATTTAAAAAATCCTGATATAACTAATCATCACTGCAGTCAATATGTTTTTTAAAAATTTGGCCTGGTTACCTTTAAGAATTCTGGGTCCTAAGATGTTTTGTCAGGTGTCACTGTTCTTCCTGGCCATTCATGGTAAATGATTTCATGTGAACCAGAAAGTCACTAATCCTTCTAATTAACCTTTGGCTACAGTTGGCCAGGAGTTGATTGGGGGTAGTGGAGGGTGAATTAACAGATGTAAAAAAACCCAAAGTACTTAGTGGTGTCACAGTGTGGTGATACTACACCTTTTCTTTGGGCAGAGACAGAAATTAATTGCGAGAAAACATAAAACTTAGGATTAAAACTCTGCTCATTCAGGCAGGGTTTCTGAGTAGAGAAATGTTATTTGAAGGCAGAGCTTTACGAAATAAATTACTTTTACTGGAATGAATTCTCTTTCAGATATTGTCTGTCAGATTTTATGTGTGTAATATATGAGTAGATGCATTGTTTACAACTTTTAAAATATTTATAAGAAAGATTTTATACATAAGGGTATATACAAGTTGTTGGAATCTGTATTCCTCTTTCCCAGACCTTAACATTATCGGTGTCTAGAAGCAAGTGTTAGTATTACTAAACGCAGCATTCATACTCTTCCTTTCTTGGCCTTGGGAGCAATTCTTGCACCAACCACAGTTGACAAGTTGAGGTGAAATCGGGGACGAATGCAGTTCAGACTGCGAAGTACAAATGTCTACCAGGGCAGGCGTTGCCAACTGCTGTGACACTGACCACACAAACTGTTTCAGTGGGATTCACCCACTGCCCGTTCTTTATGCTGCACAGTGCTGTTGTCTGCAGACAAGCCGCATGTAAGTGGTCCTTGTGGTTCTTGTGATTAGTGCTGCAGTAAGCCCTGTGGCAGGTATAGCTCAACACAGTGCTTTCAAGAGGTCATACCTAAGTGATTTGTATTGCTCTGAAACCTGAAAGAGTGCTGATTAATTAAAAATACATTAATCTCATTTACAAATGAGGGAACTGTAGACAGATTAAAATGAAATACGAAAACCTTCTATCCCCAGCTGGCTGCTTTTGATATTAGGTGGAAAGAGAAGATAAGAATAAACACAAAGCATTACCTTCTCAAGGTCTTATGCTCCAAATAGCATTAAGTGTGGATCCAAGAGTGAAAAATCAGCACAGTACACAAGCTACTGAAAGATTTCAGATCTGCACAAGTTTAATGAGGCTGAATGTATCCCCAGACGGAAGGTAACAATGTCAATATGAAATCCAAACAGAAGGAAAACCAACAAGCTGCTTAATGTAGCTGTATCCAAGATAAATGAAAAGGAAAATGTTTTCAGAACAAAAAGCTAAGAGTTAAATATGGGGAATAATCAAGATAAACAGTAGATATTTTAGAATCAGCTGATTAGTCTGATTCATGGAAAGGTAAAACTATTTGACATTACAGTTGAATTAAATGCTAATTTAGGAGTTCATATTTAAGAGACCTTTTACTGTTCCACCATGCGAGATCTGAATTCTGTGGGTGCAGGCTACTGCTGAGTGTGTCCAGTGTAGATCCTAATCTGTTGCATCTCAGATTTGTTGACAAGAAGGCTGTTAGGAGTGTTGAAGTAGAAACAAAAGCATTCATAAGCAAGAGAAAATTTATTAAACAAAAATTCAGCACATCTTTATGTTGTCTAGCTTTATGTGGCCTTTTTCCTCATACTTTATTTAAGAACTGATTTCTCTGAAGGATTTAGGCTTTTGAACTCCTATGGATCTCAGTGGAAAGGAGGAGTGAGAATACCCTTCAGCATCTGGGCCTTTTCTGCTCTCTGCTTCCATGCCATTAGTTCTCATTGCTTGCCCCTTCGTGTTCAGTGTCACTGGTAACCAGGGGCTGTCTGTACTTTCTTTTAGAGCGTTGTTTCTCCCTGGCGTCTCTCCCCTCACAATAAAAGCTTGGTGAGGGCTCCTGCTGGATTTTGATCAACTTCATGCATTTTCATTTATTGTCTCCAGATGGTAGTTAATGGATTCATAGCAAGGTACTACCACAAGAAATCATAAGCAGGTTTTTTCCATACTGCTTATAGAATATTACAACTCATGTGAATTAAAACCAGAAAGTGCTTGAGGAAAAAAAAAGGATACCAAATTTATTGGATGAGTTTATCTGAATCTTATCTGAAGATAATGGTTGTCCTCATTACATTCTGCTCATGTTCTCGTACTTTTATATTTGTTATTGAATTGGATCTTCACACCCCACATGGGCCTTTGAGAAAGCCCTCAGAATTACTGTATGTGACAGAGTGTAAGTTTACCACAATTTATTGAAGACTGCTACAGTGATTTTTGGTGGTTTCTGGTGTTCTCAATTGGCAACTTGAGCTCCAAATAAAAATAACTTCAAGGGTCCTGTTTTCTACATTTCTTTTGGATTGCATCAGCTTAAAGGACAATGAAATAGTAATTTTATGAAGAGTAAAAAACCAAGTAAAAATAATTTTCTATACTGGTTACTGAATCAGTTTAAATAGTTGAAATCTTAGTGAAGTAAATCTGTCTTCATCCTAGTTTCTATACAAATTTCTGATACCCACTTAATGCTTTATTCCGTCATCTGTCAAAGAATCACAGTATTCAATGTTTAGTAATTCAGAGTACGTAATAAATATTCCTGCCAGCACTTGCAGAGCTGAAGTATTGTATCTACAGGGAGAACATCTTTCTTTCAGTGAGCAATCTTTTACCTTTACCAGGGGATATAGGTTTTCCTACAGAATAGTTCTCTGTTAATGAAAACGTAAAAAGGCAGGGAACGTTTAATGCATTGCTAACATATCTAGACTATTAAGAGGAAACAGAAGAAAGTGAAAGGAAGATGTGACAACTAGTGTGTAAATTAAAAGGAAGAATGAGAGAACGAATAGGTCTTTTTAAGATCTGCCTCAAGACCTACTGTACATGTATAACTGATTGCATGTGTTCAGTAGCCGTTTTTCTAGGTGTGTGGCAGCAGATCACAGTGTAAGGAAATGGGACAGCAGATGGCTACTAAATGCAACAGTTACCACCTAAGTTGGCAGAACTGGCAAATCTGTATGAGGAGCAAGCAAATGGAAAATGGATTCAAGGAATAACTAGCAGCAGTATCACAGATTCGTGTCAAAACACAAAAATGATGGAAATCCCAGAGATGATTTTATATTACATTACTTCTGGGTCCTCAGATTCCAGTTGTTAATGTTGTTCCATGCTCTCAGTCACTTACTAGCATGAGGAAAGTCTGAATTTTTGTATTTCCCAATACTGAAATGAAAACCAAAATCTGGAATGAATAATAAAACAATAAGGTCAATCCAGCTTTCTTGTTTCAATCTCAGTGAAATAACGCATTTTGATCCTTCCTCTTGTAAAATAAATTTTATACAATGAAGCAGTGACTTCTGTTCTAAACAGTCATTTTGAAATCAGAATGTTTCCTTTGGAAAATATGGGAATGGAGCATTTTGGTATTCTAGAAATACATGATTCTGTTTTTTCCCAGATGAAATGGTATTTGATGAAGCATGTTAGTTTAGGCAAGACCAACATTTCTCAGTGCCAGTTTATTGGTAACACGTCTCTGGACAGATTCTTGGCTGGCAATTAGTGTAAAAGCACAGGAATAGCTTTAAACCATTTCCCATGGGCTTGAAGGGCCTTTTGCCTTCCCCAGGTTGTACAATATGATTATTCAAAAGATCTTTTGAAGATCTTTTAAAGAGAAAATGAATAGAGTAAGAAAAAAATCATCAGCCTATATTTCCCAGCCTAGTTCAATGTTTGAAATTACAGAGGTGACATCAGTGAACATGGTGATAAAGTTGTTAGAACTGTGTATTAGTTTCTTTAATGTGGTGACTCATCCTCCTCTCTCTGAAGTAGTGTGTCTCACTTGGGTCAGTCCTCAGTCTCTTACATCTCACATTCAAAAAGCTAAGTTATTCCCCTGTCCTATGTTTGTGTGGCAGATGCCTATTTATTCATTTTCTCACTAATAAGGAAGATGTGTCTTTATGATCAGATTTGTGCTGAAGTGCCTGACTGGATGTTGACTTTCACTTTGCCTCTCTAACAATTGGTGATATTCTGTGTGTGGGATGAAATCTTTTCTATTAGGCTATTCTTTGAAATGTTTTAGATAGCCTGTAGAATTTCAAAAGCTTGTTTCTCGTTGTCTACAAACTTCTTTTGTAGAAGACCTTGTATTTTCAAGGTTTCTCTTGTTGGTTATGCATGCCTTTATCCAAGAGATAATTGACAAAACATCTGGTGTTGTATTCATATTTTGCTGTTACAAGCGTGCAGGGCTAACTTGGGGACATTTGTACATACATTCCTTCACAGGAAACAAAAGTAACCTGTTACCTGAACAAGATCCAGTCAAAAAATCTAACAGAAGACCTGA